CAGAGTGGTGGTCAGTCATGAGAGATTCATGGTGACCCTTGTGCTTCAGCCTAGAGTGTTCTAAGCACTCAGAAACCAAGAAGTTCCTCTCTGTCTGTGTTACTTCCTAGGGAGCTGGCAGTGGGATGTGGGCAGGACAATTRTGAGGCCATGCTGGTCCCTCGAATGGATCCCAGGCTGTGTGTGCCACAGCTCCTGTAAAGGGCCTGAGCAAGGTTTGACAGCCAGACTCTGCAGAKACTCATGGAAAGCTCCTGAGCGGCAGGGGCTCTGTGGACAGCCAGGATCAGAGTGACAGGGAATGGTCTTTGCAGCAGTGCCACTCTGGACAGATAAAGCTGAGCAAGACTGCTCAGGGCCAGGAGGGAAACTGCCGCATTAATCAAGGTGTGAGCRCCGAGGCTGCCTTTGGAAACTGCTGACTTAGGCCCTGGGAATCTGTTTCTCGTTTATGCTGCTGCTTCWAAAGGCATAAATAAATCCAAGCACAGTAAGTATGCAGTGCTTCCAGTGGGAGAGCTCTGTGTCCTCCTCCAGGGAGCTCTGCAGGAGAGGGAAGGTGGCCGGGCTGCTACACCTGGTGTTGCTTCCCAAAATCCGAGTGTTTGATACACTTAGGATCAATGCTAGCATCTCTTTGATCTTGCTTTCTTCAAGGAAGCATCTCCTCGGGGGATAAAGGTGATGTAGAGAACTTAAGGAAGGTCTTGAGGGAGGAAGGTGAGGTCTCCAGGTAATGCCTTCACTCATTCTTTTACCATTACAGATTTGGCTTGACTTTCTTGCAGTTGTTTCTGTCAATTATCTTTAATTTCTTGGTGATGTGAAAATATTGCAAGGAAAATGGTTCAACAGCTGAGTCAAGGATATCAGTCCTTAGCTCATGAATGTGCTCTTTCCTAAAGGAGACTTTTCTCAACTTCTACAGACGGTATAGCCCTGAGCAGGCAGTGAGTGATCAAACCTGAGACTTGGGGCTGGGACCTGCCTCTGCTACCAGCTGCTGTGTGACCCTCTGTGATGAGTTTTCTTTCTAACCATAAAATAGTTACATTACAGCCTCCTGTGTGAGGCTGGCTAAAGCTCATTAGAGTTGCTCTCTGTGTCTCGGGCCTTTTCTTCTCTGTTGAAAAAGGGATGCAGCAGCCATGGCCCGAGGTGGGTTCCTGCTGCTGGGGCATTGCTCATTATAGCCCTGAAAGGCCTCTGCTCAGCAGCCTGAGCATGGAAAATGTGAGCTGGTCAAAAATCAGTCATTGAGGTGACTGGGAACAGAGTGGTAGCAGCTCTTTTGTAGCCTGAACCCCTGTGTGAGTGGTTCTCCTGCCCTGGACCTGTCGAGGAGCCGGGATTTCTGCTGTCACACCCAGATTCCATCCCCTCAGGGCCAGCCTGGGAATCCTGGCAGGGACTTGGCCTCCAGCACCCCAGTAGCAGTTTAACCACCCTTCACACACTGATTCCTGCTCCCTAATTACAAGCTGTCAGTTGCTATCAGTCCTTTGCTACCTCCTTTAGTACCAGGGAGGCTGCCCTGATGCTCCCAAAATGAACACCGAGTTCATGGGTTAAATGGAGAGGTTCTGCTGGGTCTCTCAGTCTGTTCAGCTTTTGCAATCCAGATAACCCTGCCCTGATTTTAAAGCACGGGCACTTTTTTTTAGGGAGTTTGTTGTTGTGAGGGAGACTGTTAAAATTGGAAATAAATGCAGCAGGCTGTGCGTGAGCCTTCAAGCAGCCTGGAGCAGCGGCTCAGAGGTGGACCTGACTCATCGCAGCAGGATATTGACTCTGCAGCATAATTATGATGCTTTGAGAACCTGATTTTAAAATAATTGAGGTATAAAATTATGCGCCTGGCTCTCACAGTTACTACAGCTCTGGGTATAAATTGAATAACGGGCTGTACAAATGTGCCACTTGGCTAGAGCAGGAATAGCAGCGAGTCTGGAAATGTCCTGCGTCACCGCTGTTTTCCTCTTGCTGGGAAGCCGGCTGCAGGCTGAGGTTTGCAAACAGCCTCTGCATCTTCCAGTTGTGCAGCCACAGGGGTTTGGCAAATCCTTGCAAAGTCCAGCATTTCAGCAGCTGAAATCCAATTGTGAAACCCTGGCTGTTTGTTAATCCCAGCATCTGAAGCACCTCTGGGGATGGATGTGGGCAAGTGCCATGGACACAGCTGGGGTTTTGACACCCAGAAATGTGTGGTGGCTCCCTTGCTTCCACAAGCATTTTCTYCTTTCTCCATCATGTCTGCAGACAAACTTTTGCATTTTGTTTGGACAATACACTGAGTGGTCTTGRTGAGCTTTGATTCTCTGTAAAATCCCAGGACTCTGGCAGGAGGCCACTGTCCTCAGTCTGAAAGGGCCATTTTGTCACCTCTGTCCCACCTGGAATGGTGTTCCCCCAGAACTGAATTTGGTGAAATCTGGTGTTTGTCTTCCATGCTTTGATACCTCCACTGCTCTTGGAAGGGTTAGAATGGGTTATTTTCCACTCAGAAGCAATCCAAWCTGCAAACTTAGCTTAATAAGTTGGGGGTTTTAATCAGTCTAGCTAAAAACCAGGCAAACAAGTCAGGTTTGTTCTCCTGGTGCCTCCTTCAGTATCAGGGTGCTGATCCCAGGTGCCTTCGCCTTGGTTTGAGGTTGGGATTTGTTCCTTGGTGTTGCCCAKTGTGTTTGCAGGGTTGTTTTCTTTTTTGGGGTGCAGGATTGGGTCACTGCTGGGGGCGTTTCCAGTGGGCCCCAGTCAGGGAAGGAGAAATCTGAAGGGGAATGTTACACTGAGCCCTCAGCTTCTGTAAAAGCTGAGCAGGAAGCTGGAGCAGSAGCCTCTGCTCTGACCAGACAGGCTCCTCATGCCAAGGCTGCTGCTGTGCCTGCTTGGGGCCAAAATATTGGGATTTTTAGTCTGTAATAAAATAAAACCTCTTGTGTCTCAGCCATCTGAATTATTACCTGACTGGCACTTCATTATAAGCACATTTTTTCCATGTTGCTACTGGTTTCTTGCCATTTTACTGCTTTTTAGGTTCTATTTTCTTATTCATCTCTTCCAATCGATAGAAATATCCTGTTTTTAGCAAACAGCAAGGGCAGATGTGACTGATGTCCTTATGATGGAGCAGAACCATTTTGAGAGCATTTGAGGAACAGAGGGAGAAGCTTTGAAATCTAATTTTCAAAGATCTCTAAAGCACAACAAACTGCTCAAGAGATGTAGCTGAGTGTCCCACTGCCATTAGCTCCAAGAGTTTGAGACCCTGCAGTTGCACCTTTACAGATCTGGTGCTGGAGATCCACCATGTGGTGGTAACTGTTGTTCTTTGCTAATTAAAACCCACTTAATGAGATTATCTCCACCTGTTCTGGAGAATTAGTTTGATGGAGGGAATCCTGCACGTGCATGTGGATGCACACAGGTCTGTGCATAGCTCAGCAGAGACTTCTCAGAATTATTCTCTGTGGCTTTGCCATAGCAGAGACTTTTTTATCCTCCCCTCCACGCGCACAGATTGCTCTGACAGCAATAAAATGCGGCAGAGAATTGAATTTGGAAATAAATTGTTTAGATGATGCAGCACCAGACRGATCACTATTCCAGAAGAGTCGGTCTGGGGTGGATTTGCTTTAGTGCCAGATTGGAAATGTGGCAATCACAGGGAGGCAAACTGGGCATACTGTGGCACAGAGCTGGGCAGAGATGGCACAGTAAACCTGGCTTAGAAATCCTGAATGTWGTCCCTGATTGCTCTGTGACCACGGGCATGTGTTTGAACCTCTCTGAACCTCGTAAAAGGTCGGTGAAGTGTTGTGCAAACACCGACGGGCACTAAGGGCTGTTGATAGTGCTGCGGTTTCCTGGTTCCCACATCATGGTTTAATCCACAAGATAAATCGGTTGGGTTTGTTCTGGTGGTTGTTTTCGCCAGTCACAGGGTTTGGGGCTGGTTTGACTCCAGCAGCTCCATCTGAAAACTTCCAGTAAGTAGGCACAGCAGAAAGGTGGATTTTGGTGACAGGAAGCAGCCAAGTGAATGGTTTGTGTGCTGCAGGAGCGGATGCCAGGTCTGCCAAGGCTGACTTGGCCTGATAACAAACTTGGCTTCTCGTGTCCTCTTTTCCTCACTAGTTACCCTTTTATTTCCCCCTTCCTTACATAACATTGTTGTCTTTATCCACAGTCCATAGGGGCTTTCAAAGATATTTGAAAAGTTCYTGCTTTGACACCTAGTGTAATAAATGCTGTATTCCTCAAATTCTTAAGCAATAATTCTGTTACCTTGAGGTGGGGTAYGATGGGAATTTTCTCTGTTGCAGTTTGATCTTTGACTGTATTCTCATGCAGTGGGAGTGCAAAAATGAGTTTGGCATTGCCAGCAGTGACAGGAATATCTTTCCAGCAGACTGCTTTGGAAGTGCAGGAGAAGGGGTCCTATCAAGACAATAATTCAGAATAAAGCAGGGAAGAAAAGTAGATTTGTGCTGTCTTTATTCTTAGAATCCAAAGGTCTTTTATTCATCACGTTGTTACTGAGGGCTGAGGAAGTCTAATTATTGCCTTTTGTTGCTGCAAAATGAATCTGAGAGGATAAAACCTGATGCCTTTGAGTTGATACATCTCTGGTGTGCTGCTGACACTGGAAAGAGACTTTATTGTCAAGCAGCAGCAGATCTGCCTATTCATTTGGAACTTTTGTCACATCTCTTCCGTGGAGATGCTGATTGATACGGTGGCAAAGGTCAGGAGGGTAATAGCTTTGATGGTATCCCCTGAAGCAAATCAAAATTTTTCTGAAAGGTTCTGTTCAATTTGATACCAAAGGTCTGGTAGCACTCCAGGGATTCTTCTCTCTGCTATTAAGCTTATAGCTATTACAAAAATTAATGTTTGTCTGTTTGTTTTTTTTTCTAAATAGGATGTTTTGCCATAAGAATGGAAAATAACCACTCGTCTCTTCCCCTGCCTCCTCCCCCTTTCTCTGTTTCAGGGATCCTCGATGCATTTCCTTGCCATTATTTAAGGAGCCTTTACTAAAAGCTTTTGGATTGTGTTTCTGAGTGGACAAGAGATTTTTGTATCCAAAATGCTCATAAAGGAATATCGTATTCCTCTTCCGATGAGCGTGGAAGAATATCGCATCGCCCAGCTCTACATGATACAGGTCAGGAACATTCTGGGTCCTGCAGGGCTCTGTGTGGGCTGGGGGAGAATTGCTGCAGGATTGGATATTTTAAATTTGAGTTTTGCTGTTTGCTGATAAAGGAAAAGCAGCAGGGAAAGTAACACCAACTTCAGTTTCTGGCTTGCTTCCTCTTCTCCTTAAATTGGAGAACCTCTSTCTGACCTACCTGGGGAAACAACAMCCTGTTCCTATGGAAACACTCAACTTTGTGTGGGATCCTCCTGGAAGGACCGAGCTGTAGGGCACAAACAGCCATGGCTTCCCAGGTGGGCTCTGGTTACTGGGCAATTCCAGTTGCAAACCAAATTCTGTTCTTTTCTGGGGAAGCAACAGTCTAATATAAATTTGAGAGGTAAACCAAAGGCATAACTTGGAATTAAYGAAGAAAAAAAAAATATAATATATCCGTGCTTATATACCACTGTGAAATAGATACTAATCAGTTTAGGCATAAAATGTAGATTATTTTTAATAGGCTTCTGAATACTGATGGGAATTTTTGTGGAATTCCCTGGCTGCAATAAAGCAGTTAATTAAAATGTTGGGTTTTTGTAACTGAAATCCTCTGTGCCCATATTCTCCCAGTGTTTGAAATCCAACCAGGAGCAGTTATAAAAGGAAATGAATTTGAAGTGTTATTTCATTGTCCCACGCTTTAAATAAAATGTAATTTTGCTCATCCAGCAAAACACACATTTGATAYTGCGTTTGCAGGAGAACTCTGCTCTCTGAAGCGGGATGAAATGATGATAGAAAAATCTGCTTTGGCTTAAAACCTAAAATAATTTAAGGGTAAAAAGCAAATCTCACAAAACAAACCAAAGCACAATTCCCYCATTTCTCTCCTGACCACCCAGCTGTGTTTCTTAAGGATTCATGCACTTGGACATGACTGTTAAAATAATAATGGTGTGTATTTTCCAGCAATAAGAGTCAAATTCCTTTTTCTGACACAAATGTGTCATCTTTGTGTGTTTAACCTAAACGCTGGCATAAATGAGTAAGCATTTTTCTTAGGCAGCTGCATTTTTCTGTACCTTTCCCTGATGCTGTAGCTGCTTTGAATATTGGTGTAATTATTTTGTTAACAACTTTGTCTTCCTAATCTGGCTCAGCTGCTTTGCATGAAGAGCTGGTGGATGGCAGCAGAGTATTATCTGTGCAGAACTTGTCAGTGAGCAGCAGAGCGTAGGGGAGAGTGATCTGATTAGGAAGGAGGAGTCCACCTGATTAAACAGAGGATGAATCCTTAATTGGGGAGTGTCTGTGGGGAATCCTTAATTGGGGACTGTCTGTGGGGCCTCCTGGGAATTTTGGAGAACTCGGTCAGGGAGATGGGTTTGCTTTTTGATTTCAGAAGTTAAATTGCTGATTTTTATTTCCATTATGTAGAACATTGGGATCTGCTTTGGTACTGACAGGGATTTTGGCCATATCTTAACATCAGAAGGACATGGGAAGTTATTAGGGTTTCATGCAAGGGGAAGTTCACCAGCCCAGGAAGCTGCTTGAGAAACTACATCYCCAAATTGCTGTCCAGCCCTGCTTTCATTTTCTACTGCATTGGCAGGCAGCAGAGTAAGGTTTCTTTTTGGATCAGGTGTCAAATCAGGTTTTTTATCTCTGTCCACTCTCCTGGAGCAGGGGGCTAAGCTGGAAACACTGCAAGGTCCAGGGGAGCTGGAGAACTGCACCACAAAGAAGGGACTTTTCTGAGTTACTTTAACACAAGAGGAAAAGTTAGCTGTGCTTTTTCTTGAGGATACCAATTTCAGCTCAAGGTTGCAAAAACCAAAAAGCAATAACAAAACAAGAAAGGCCACTTAGTGTAGAGTTTATAGTTTAGCAGTGATTTGCTTGTGAAATTGGTGGAAAGATTCCTGCTGGCTTCAGTGTGAGCTTTTCCTAGAGCAGGATATCAAATGTTCTTTTTCTTCAGTTTGATTTAAAAGTGGAGGTTTTGTCTTTGAGTCAGGCACTGGAGAAGGAGCAGTGGGGAGCGTGACTTCCGTCCTTTTCAGAGAACRAGAAAGTGCTTTACGTGTGTCCTTTTATTTTTCCTCTGAAACACCTGGAGAGGCCACAGGAGAARTAAGTTCTGTGTTTGAGCCCCCTTATGGGAGCAAGCTGAGATATCTGTACAAAGCAGCARTGAAGAGGCTTTTCTGAGAAATCTGTGGCTGAAATATAGAACAGAATGTTTAGAAGTCGTTCCTGGGAAGAGGAGTGATTCTTAAAAGTGAAAGGTTAATTTTTGAGACATTTGTCACATACAGAAGGATGGCATTGTTGCTGGTGGCACCAGRCAGCCTCGTCCTGTGAGAAAAACTTCTCCAGCAGTGGGAAAGGAGAYGTCAGGATTGTTCCTCAAGGGTTTTAGGGAGCCTCAAGCACATACTCGAAATGGATCACCCATTTACCTTCAAGCTCATGAGTGAAAATTCCCGTTAAACTCCAAACCAGTTGGTATAAAGCTGCCTCCGGGGTTTTTTTTGCCCAGGTATAATTTTTCCTAGATTTCAGCCTTGTCCAAATGGAAATTTTCCAAAAGGCTCTTCTCCCCTGAGCCCKTGTGGTGGAAGTGGTGCCTCAAAGCCACGTGGGCAGGGATCAGACTCAAGCTGTAGTATTGCCATCACTTTTCAAAGGCATTTTCATGCAGGTTTTGCTTTGCAGTGGAAAGGTCATTCATCTGTTTTCATGAGAGAACATCTCTTCCCCTTCTTCTTCGAAGTCTTTACAGAAATTTCCACCAGATTTGATGTAAGCAGCAGCATGCCCAAGTAGCAAAGGATCCTTCCATTAAATRGGAACAGGCTGTACTCATTTTTGCTGTGTTTACTGGATGGGAGAATTAAAATTGTGCAGTACATAATCCACATCTCTCTTGGTTCTCTGCGCCACTGGGCAGGCGAGACGTGCAATAAATCATTGTGTGCGTGCCCGTGTTGCTCCGTAATTCCTCTTATAACTACAAGTTCTCCAGGCTRGTGTATAAAGCTGTGAAAACTGAAATGACTGGCCTGCCACTTTGCTTTTTAATTTATTTATTTTTAAATTTGAGGTGAGAGAGCAAAAAGTCTCCTAAGTTGCTTTCTGTCGGCTTCTGAAATATTATCTACACTCAGTGGTTTTAGTACGTTAAGTAGCACTTAAATTCTTCCCTAAATAAGTTAATTTTACATTACAGCAAGGACTTAATGTACCCTYGACTTGCTTGAAGCCTAGCAGAACTGAACTGAATTGTTTTTCTCTATTAAATTTTAGACTTTCAATATCCTTCCATGGGAAACCTCTCATGCAGTGCTGGCAGCCTCTCCAGGCTGGGAGCCCTTGCCCCAGAGCAGTTTAGTTTTTCTATAGATACAAGGCCTTTTCGTATCATTGTTACACGTTAGAGGGATCTTATTAAAGGATCTCTTAATTCCTCCCCTCCTAAGTCCTGCATTTTTTTTATCTCAAAGCAATCCTTTCCTGGAACTCTGGCATCTTTTCCTTGTGTGTTCAGGGAACCTTCCTTTCTGTACACCTCCCCCTCATCTGAGAAACAATGCACATGTTAATGTTAAGTTTCTGTTTCATAAAAGCTTGGCATACAAGCCCTGAATGCGTTTGTCAGGATGTTATTAGCCAAAGGTCAGTCCTTTTATCATCTTAATAATGTTCATTACTGTGGTTCCATATGCCATGAGATTCCGAGAGACCGCTGCCCTTCTGACCCTTTCATAAGACAAGAGAATTCCTCTTGTTATTAAAACTTATTTTTATATCAGTGTGCACAGCTTTCTAGTCTGTTGTAAATAACTCTGGTTCTCATTTTTTCCACGCAGATTTCTCTGGGTATTTGTGACCTTCCTCCAAAGATAGCGTGCTTTAAAAATATTCTTCTGCTGGACCTAGTGATTACCTTTTGAGGGTGAGCCTTATTTTAAGATGTGGTGTCATCCCTCCCAGTTAATAGCATTAATAGTTTGTTATTCATCACTTTGAGGSTCCACAACTGGGAAAGGCCTCTGGCCCCTGTGTGAGGCTCTGCATGGAAGATTCAGGTTCTCTGGCAGGATCCTGGGAATTGAGGGCTTCTCTCATGTTTTAACATRAGCCTCTCCTCTGCAGTCTTCCAGAGCTTTGCATTTATTGCCTTCCCTGAAAAATCAGAGCGTGTTCCAAGCATCTGCAGTGTGCTGTTCTCTCCTGTCCTGAYTGCTGATGGAATATCCTGAATCACTTTCCTCCTTTCTGGAGGATCACRGTTTGTCCATCATCTCAGTTCCCAGACACCTGCACTGTCCTATTTTCCTCTTCATTTCCATGTAGCTCTCAGGAAGCACCTTTGAGAACAGACTTAAAACTCTACTTTAAGGCCCTGTCATGACACCCATGTGCAAAAGTCGTGTCCCTTAAACCCTCAGCTCCACTTGGCAGTTGCCAGCAGGCTCAGCAGATGGTGAAGGATTGATTGAGTGGGGGAAAGCAAACTAACCCTTCATCTCTGGACACTGAAGAACTGGATGGCTGATTATTTCTGTTCTGCATGCAGATGCCTTGGCCATCTGCACAGACAGACATTTCTGCTTTAATTTTAAAGCAGGTGATGCTGCTGACAGCTCCAGAGACCCTGGAAAGCTCACAAATCTAAAAGCAAAGTCTGGTTTTTGAAGCTTTTGCCCCGATTTCTGTGCTGCAGCATTAAAACCTGTGGCTTCTGTATTCTCTTCTTCCTCTGGTTTTCATAACTTTTTTTCTTGTGATCTGAGGATTTGCATCCTTCTGGAAGAGGAGAGTAAGGCACTTGCAGATGTTTTGTTTTAGGACAAGTTTCGGTTGGTGGTACCAGACTTGGGGTCTCACAGGTGASAGTGGCTCCCATACAGGTTATCATTTTGGGAAAATACACAGAAGGAGCAAACACCTTTCCTACATCTACTTCTTTCTTGTTTTGTACAATTCTTACATTGTGATTCCATACCATATTCCAA